GGGTGTTGGTCAGGGGCCAGCTCCTGGCTGAGCCCCATGGGCTGCAGACGGTCAAGCCCCTCAGATGGTTACACCCTGGCCATCCCTTCCACGCAACTCTGCCCATGCCACACAGCCTGTGCAAGAAGCCAAACGTCCGCTGCCTTTGTGGAGAGCCCTGCACTGACTCAGGCTTCAGGATAACAGCGCTGGCGTCAGATGCGGGGTCAGTGAGAGGCTGCGGCAGGACTTTCCCTTTCCTGGCTTCTCCTTCAGCCTGCCCAGCACTCTTACTCAATCCCTTTATCATTTACTCTCACCCCGTCACCACCACACGCACGCACTCACCCACTTCACAGTAACTATCTGCAATCTTTTGGGTTTACTTATCTCCTTTCCTGTCCCTCCTAGCAAGTCATTTCTTCACTCTCATTCCGGAGCAGGTCACGCAGCCCCTTTGGGTCTCAGTTCCCTCATCTGCACAATGACAATCCGCAGTCCCTGACACAGGGGATGTTGTGAGGAACAAATCAGTTATTTCAGGGAAAACGCAGACAGTATCTGGCTCCCAGTACATCTCAGGCCTCATCCATGTTGCTCTAACATCCCTGCGTTCATCGTTTCTTTTCTAGTAAAAGATCATTTTATTTGGGGCTCTTACAACTCTTGTCACAATCCATACATCAATTGCATCCGGCAAGTTTGCACATATGTTGCCTTCATTCTTTTCTAGACATTTACTTTCTATTGAGCCCTTGGTATCAGCTCCTCTTTTTACCCTGTCACCCCCGCCAAACTATCATGTCCCCAGTGCTGCTTCTCAATTCAGACTTGACTGGAGCATGTACACAGGTATAGATAAGAGATGGGGGCTCATGACATACAGAATCCAGGAACAGGTGTGGGAATAGCGATACCAGAAGGGTAGGGGGGCAGGGGGGAGAGGAAGGGAGAAAGGGGGAACCGATCACAATGATGGACACATAATCATACAACCCTATCCAAGGGGAAGAACAACAGAAAACATGGGGGAAGGGAGACAGCAGTTGGTGTAAGATATGAAAATAATAATAATTTATAATCGCTTAACAAGGAGATAATCGTGCGATGGAATGAGAGACTGTGCATACAAAGATGTTGTAACAGTTCTTGCTATGCACACACACACAGTAAGCTCTCCATATGTGGCGGTGGTGGCAGCTATTATTATTAGTATTATTGGTCTAACCTTCCTGAGTTAATCAAGCTTAATTAGCAAAGTAAAACAAAATAAAACAACAACAACAAAATCCTCACTGCTGTCAAGTCAATACCAACTGATAGTGACCATATAGGACAGGGTAGAACTAACCTTGTGGGTTTCTGAGACTAAATCTTTATAGGAGCAGAAAGCCTGTTTTTCCTTAATTAGCAAAGGGATCATGGAAATTGAGTGAGAAATTTTACACACAGACATTAGTGAACAGTATACAGTACGTACCATGACCATCACCGGCCACCCTCTCTGAATTAATCAATGATGTTAATCAGCCCTCAGAACTTACAATTGTCCCTTCCCCAGGACCCAGAGAAGAATCATCATCAGGAAGCTGGTGGGCAGGGATTGCTTCACCCCACTCCCCACCTGGGGGGGAATGGGCAGGGCAGGATGGGGTGGGGATCGGTTTTCTACTGACTCACTGGCCACTTTCGCCATCAATCAACACCCTCCCCCCCACCTCCCTACTCCATTTGCACATTCCCTCCTGGCCAGGCCTATGCCTTGCCCTGGTTAAGATCCTGGTGATAGCCAAAGTTCAAATCCCAGCCAAGTTTTGTGGCCCTGGGGAAATTCTTCAATCCCTCTATAAAACCCTTCAAGTTCATTCTGAATCATGGCGATCCCGTGAGTGTCAGAAGAGAACTGTGCTTCTGAAGAGTCTTCCATGGCTGAGGGCGGGGAAGGAGCAGCACCTCTGGATGAAGGCAAACCTCCAACCTCTTGATCAGCAGCTGAGCATGTGTTAATTGTTTGAACCACCTAACCAACCCAAATCAAACCAACCCAACCTAAACCAAACCAACCCAACCCAAACCTAACCAACCCATCCCAACCCAAATCTAACCAAACCAACCCAACTTAAACCAAACCAACCCAACCCAAACCTAACCAAACCAACCCATCCCAACCCAAACCTAACCAAACCAAACCAACCCAACCCA